GCTTTTAAAACTATCTGATTTGCAGGGACCAGCAGTTAGCGTAACGGCTATGTCGCTGGACTCCCATGTAGTTGACCGCAGTTCAAGTTCCGGACCTGGTGGCTTAAACTCATGCCAGGCGCATGTGCCTGTGTGCCCAAGATCCTGAGAGGAGAATGGAGGAGAAGGGATTGTGGCATGGCCATCCCCCCTGGGAGGTGATTTCTCACTTTCTGTCTCTGTCTTCCTGGTGAGCACATGCACCCTACAGCAAGAAAAAAAAAAAAAGCTCAAAAAAATACCCCAAACAAACAGAAAAAAACAAATGCTAAAAGTTCTTCAAACTTCAAAAGAAAAAAAACACACACTAAATGAAACATTTAAAGATACAAAATTCATACAGACATATTCAAAATACTCTTATTTTTGAGAGATTTTTGCTATAGGGAACATGCACTTAGCGGAAAGACAGAGACAGAAAGACAGAACACAAGAAATGACCTCCCCAGAAGAAATGGCCACACAGCAATCCCTTCTCTTCCCTTTTCCTCTTGAGATTTTGGGCATAAACTCACATGCACCTGGTATGAATTTCAAGAAGTCACGTCCAGGACTTGAACCACAGTAGGCCATGTGGGAATCCAGCAATATAACCATCATGCCATCTGCTGGTTCCCCAGAATGCTCTTAATACTGTGTGATATGTGAACAATTTATATCTTTGGTATGAAAACTAAAAGGCAAAACATTTGTTTAAGAGGTTTTTACCTTATAGCATGTGTGTTTACCAGAGAGAGAGAGAGAGACAGAAACAGAGGGAAAGTGAGAACTCACACCCTAGGAGGGGATGTACATATCATAATCCCTTTTACTCGATTCTCCTCCTGGGATCTTGGGCATGCACGCACATGTGCCCAGCTTGATTTTTTTTTTGTTTTTTTGAGAGGTTTTTCACTATAGGGCCCGTGCGCTCACCAGACAGAGAGAGACATAGAGACAGAAAGCAAGAAATCACCCCCCATGGGGGATGGTCACGCCGCAATCCCTTCTCCTCCATTCTCCTCTCGGGATCTTGGGCATGCACGCACATGCGCCTGGCGTGAGTTTAAGCCACCGGGTCCGGGATGCGAACCGTGGTCGACTACGTGGGAGCCCAGCAACATAGCCATTACGCTAACTGCTGGTTCCCCCCAGCTTGATTTTTAAGCTACTGGGTCCGACTTAAACTGCAGTAAGCCATGTGGAAGTCTAGTGACATAATTGCTATGCCACTTGCTGGCCCCAAGGCAAAACTTTTAAAAGCAGTAATAACTACTATAATCTGTTTAGAGATAGGCAATGTGGCACATGTGCCCAAATCCCATGAGGAGAATAGAGGAGAAGGGACTGCAGCATGGCCAACTCTCCTGGGGGGTGATTTCTCACTTTTTCTCTTTCTCTCCAGTGAGCACACCCTATAGCAAAAAAACCCACTCGCTTAAATAAAAAATGTAAATTGTAACAGAAAATTCAAAAGGTGGGAAGAAAATGTAGTTACACTGTATGTTTTTCCTATTTTTGTTTTTTATTATTATTATTATTTCTAAGTTCATTTGTTTCCTCCACCAGAGAAAGAAAACAGACAAGCAATCCCAGAGGGTCTTTATGCCATGATCCACCTCCCAGTTTCAGCCGAAACAGACCACAGCATACAAACATGCCTGGCTTTCTCAGAGAGGTCCTGGTAGATGAACCATGGCCTTTCTCATGTGGATCTACCTAAACCAATACCTGGCTTCACTTTTTATTTTTGTTACAATCAAAATTATCAGTTGAAAGTACATTCCTTGTTATAACTTTAAGATGCTTTCATAAGCCTCGGGAACCAGCAGTTAGCGTAATGGCTATGTCGCTGGACTCCCACGTAGTTGACTGCGGTTCGCATCCTGGACCCGGTGGCTTAAAACTCACTCTGGGCGCGTGTGCGTGCGTGCCCAAGATCCCGAGAGGAGAATGGAGAAGGGATTGCGGCGTGACCATCCCCCGGGGGGGTGATTTGTCGCTTTCTGTCTCTGTGTCTCTCTGTCTGTCTGGTTGGTGAGCGCATGTGCCCTATAGCAAAAAAAATAAATAAAAAAATAAAAAAAGAACCCCCCCAAAAAAAAAAAAAAAAGATGCTTTTCATAAGCCTCATGGTGGCCACAAGGCCAAAACCTATAATACATACATTAAAATTAGAAAGCAAGGAATCAAAATACACTACAAGAGAAAAAAGTCACTTAAGAAAGAAATGTAATAAAAAGAAGAAACAAAAATATACGAAACAACTAGAAAACAATGAACAAAATGGGAGTTGTAAGTCCTTACCTCTCGATAATTATCAACACTTTGAATACAAATGGATCAATTCTCCAAGTGAAAGACATAAGAGTGGATGAATGAATTGAAAAAAAGACCTAACTATCTGCTGCCTATAAGAGACTGACTTCGCCTGTGCAAAAATGCATACACTGAAAATTAAATGATAGAAAAAGTTATTCTGTGCAGATGGAAACCACAAAACGAGGAGTAGCTATGCTTATAACATCAAATAAACTAGATTTTAAGACAAAAACTGTGTAAGGGTACTAAGATTGTTATATAATAAAAAAGCCAATACACAAAGATAATCTAACAATTATAAATATTTATGTACATAGATGCACCCAACATCAAAGCACTTAAATATATAAAGCAAGTACTAATAGAACTAAGGAAGAGGTAGACTGCAATACAATAATAGTAGGGGATTTCAGCACCCACCCCACTTCAGCGATGGATACGTTATCCAACAGAGTATCAACAAAGAAACAATTGAAAATAAACTGCATTGTAGACTAGGTACCTAGCAGACATAAATAACATTCTATCCAACAGCTACAGAATACATATTTTTACCCACACCACATGAAAAATTCTCCCTGCAGAGCAAACATCAGGGCACAAAAAAAGTCCCAAGAAATTTTTAAAATGTTGAAGTACATTAAGTTTTTTTTTTCAGACTACATTGGGGAAAAAAAAAAAGAAATTAGAAATCAATTAACAAGAGGTGCTTTGGGAACTGTATAAATTAAACATGCTTCTAAAAAACCAGTGGATTGATACAAAATGTGAAAAATATTTAAAAAACTTCTTTAAACAAATAAAAATGTAAACAACAAAACCTTTAAGACACAGAAAAAGCAGTTCTAAAAAGAGAATTTTATAGGGAAAAAAGAAAGCCTACATGGGCCAGTGGTGTGGTGATTAAGGCAGCTGGATCCCAGACTAGCGACTTAGAAAACATCCAAGAGGAGGGAAAAATGAAGAAGGAATTGCAACATGACCATCTCACAAGGGAGATTCTTTCTGTCTCTGCATGTCTCTCTGACTCTGGTCAGTGAGTGTATGCCTCTTCTAACAAATTAAAAAAAAATATTCTGGAGCTGAAAAATAATTAATGAAATTAACAATGCAGTTGAGAGCATCAAAAGCAGAACTGATCAAGCAGAATGTGTGAACTCAAAGAGAATTTATTTAAAAATATATAGAAAAGAGAAAAAGATTACAAAATAATGGCAGAAGATTACAGGACATGTGGGATAGCATCAAAAAAGCAAATTTTTAAATTACAGGAGTTCTAGCACGAGAGAAACACAAGAAACCTTTCCAAATATGGAAAAGATATAAATATCCAGATACAAGAAGGTCAAAAATCTCCAAGAAGATTTAACCCAAATAAGACCTCCCCAAGGCATATAATAAAAGTGTCAAAAACAGAGCCAGCCCCATAGCTGTGGTTAAGGGAGACAGATCCTACATGATGACCAGTTATTTGAGTTCCAGCCCTGAGGGCTTGAAAAACATTCCAAGTCCAAGTGTGTATTTCCAAAATTTCAACAGAATGGAGAAATGAAGGGTATATAG